TTTCCCCTTTCCCCTATTTAGTTTGTTAGCCGCCCTGAGTCCCCTTGGGGAATAGGGCGGCATACAAGTTCAATAAAACTACAAACTACTACAACTATAGTTTCGAGAAAGGAGCAATTCAGCTTCTCTTTCTCATAAACATACCCCGAAATACAGAGATGGAATATGACCACATAGAATACGTGCAGATATGGTGGGTTAATATATCAGCAGATGAACCAGGCTGTGTGTCTCTCCACATCCACACAACGTGTTATTATCCACGAAGAACTTCCACTTGAGCAACTTGGTTTCATACTTAGGCACGCCAACTCTTAACCTATTCAGAGTCCTCCAAGTAGTATAAGAAAGATCAGATTCTTCAGTCATACCCTCCTTTAACATTATTCCTTGTTGAGGTCTCCTTCCTCCATCTTTTAATTTGATTTTGTTCTTGTGTACCCTCAAGAATGTTTATTCTTGCCATAAAGCTGTTCCTAAATCTGAGTCAGTGGGCTTGTCTGTTCAAAAGATATCCATTCACAGGAAGTTGCGGATCATTCTGTTTCTTAAAAGTGCATTGAATTGTTTTATGATATGTGTAAATAGAGATTTCTGTCCTACATTCATTTGAATAAAGTTATGAATGATTGATAAAATGGTGCTGTAGCCAATATGTTCTGGTGGCTGTGAAGTGGACACAGTTTCAGGAAATCCCATTTTTATGGGGTTTTCTAGAATTTTTCTTCAGAGTTGAGAGAGAACAAACTTCTCTTCTATAGTCTGCAGATTATAAACCAGTTATTTTAGCCATAAATAAAATATCATTCTTGTTGGGCTAAATCCAACTATGTGTAGGTCATTTTTGTAGGCTAGAGAGTCCACACAATTTGATGATCTAATTAACTGAGAACTATAGATAGACTCAATAATGTAGCTTTAGCTGCTTTCTCAGAAGAAAATGAATTAAAGTTGGATAATTAATAATTATTCTTTGAAAATAAGAAGTGCAGATATTTTTTATCTTTTTACTTTTAGTTATAATGCATTTCTTTTAAATCTGAAAGATAGGTGGAGTCAATTACTTGGGGTTTCACCATGTTCCATTCATAGCAGTTTCTTAACACAGATTCTAAATGATTGCCTCTATTGGAGAGGGCATCATGCTATTGGATTAGAATAGTTTAATCCAGAAAATGTATTTAATTATAATTTAAGAATATTAATTTATCTGGTAAGTAAGCATTTCTTAATATTAAGGATGCAAATGAGCCAAACTCATTCCATAGTGTAGGGTGTTCATTCATGTGTCCCTTTGTATAAATTAGTTTTTTGGTTGTAATTTGAAGTAATGAACAAGCTGAGTCATGGATCAAACATAAAAGATTGTACAAAGTTATCTTGATTAATATAGTTCATGTTGATAACATCTAAAATATTGTTATGTATGTCTTTTTGTCTTAAACTTTGTATAATGCCAGAATGGACAGTAGATATAATGTTGTGACAGAACATTGATGTAAAATTGATGGAATTATTTTGATTTTTTTATATTTTGATTTTTTATTGATTTGTTTTGATCTGGATTTGGTAAGAGAATTTTTTTAATGATGTCACCCTGTTTTAATACTTACACTACAGTTCTCATA